CAGGCCCAGAGTTCAGGCCCCATGACCGGACCCAAAAATAATAATAATAATAATCACAGGGGCTGGTGGCTCAAGCCTATAGTCCTAGCTACTCAGGAGGCTGAGAGCTGAGGATCATGGTTTGAAGCCAGCCCAGGCAGGAAAGTCTGTGAGATTCCTGTCTCTAATAAACTACTCAGAAAAAGCCAGAGGGCTGGGATTTAGCTCAATGGCAAAGCGCTTGCCTAGCAAGTGCAACGTCCTGGGTTCGATCCCCAGTACCAAAAAAGAAAAGACAAAAAAAATACAGTTAAAAAAAGCCAGAAATGGAGCTGTGGCTTATGTGATAGCCCATTAACCTTGAACACCAAAGCTCAGGGACAGTGCCCAGGCCCTGAGTTCAAGCCCTAGGCCTGGCAAACAACAACAATAACACAACAACAACAACAAAATCATATGACCTATTCTGTTCTCTTCTGCCAGAAGCCCAGAGTTAAGTTTTTAACTTGTCTACAATCATTATCCTCTCCTGGATTTTCCATATTATTCCATTCATACCCTCTTAAGTCATCTTTTATTTCTCATTTATCTTATTTTTTGCATTTGAGTCTTTTACAGTAAGATGACTCTTCAGAAACAATTTTTGGACAAATAAATACATTTACTAAGAAGTGAAGATAGAAGCCTGGTGGGGTGGTACATGTCTGTAATCGCAGCACTCAGGTGGCTGAGGCAGAAAAACACTGAGTTCAAAGCCAACCTGGGCTCCATGGCGAGGTCTTGCCTCACAAAAAGGGGGTAGTGGCTAGAGTCCTAAGTTAAAATGCTAGTACTGCTGAAAAAAAGAAAGAAAGAAGAAAAGGGAAGGAAGGACATCCATGGAAGCAAAAGTAGGTTTGGAAACTTAAAATCTATGCTCATCTTTTTTTTTTCTTTTTTTCAGTTGTGGGGCTTGAACTCTGGGCCTAGGTGCTGTCCCTCAGCTCTTCAGCTCAAGGCAAGTGTTTTACCACTTGAGCCATAGGGCCACTTCTGGTTTTCTGGTGATTAATTGGAGATAAGAGTCTCACAGACTTGCCTGTCCAGGCTGACTTTGAACATCGATCCTCAGATCTCAGCCTCCTGAGAAGCTAGGATTACAGGCCTAAGTCACTGGTGCCTGACATCTTTGCTAATCTTTAATGTCACTTTGTATCTAGACTGCCTCCAGTCTCTAAAATGCTTCCCCAAGTTTTTCCTCCATCTTACCTCTATACCCTATTCCAGTTACTCTTCACAGCACTTCTACCAATGATTTAAAACTAAAAGGATGTTGTATACTTTTCTACTTCTTTCCCCTTGCACATACCACTTCCAAACTATCCAAAATCTTTCATAAGATCAAACTATCCAAAATCTTTCATAAGATCAAACTATCCAAAATCTTTCATAAGATCCATAAAACCCCATAGAGATTGGCTCCAGTCTGTCTCTCCATTTACCATCACTCCACCTTGTGCTTTCTGCCTAAACTGCTTTGATGCTCTGCCCCCTGAGCAGTAGGAATCTGTATCTCCCACGCCCTGTCCACTTCAGGCCTGGCCAAGCTCATCCTTATTGCGCCTTCAGTTCCCTCTTCAACTCAGAGCCATCCCTCACTTCCCTAATGTATATTCTCAGAGTACTTAGGTATCCTCCTTTATACAACTCAACATAGATACAATACTGTATCAACCATTTATATAGATGTATAATTAACATAAGTCTGTCTTACCAAAATATAAGGGTCATGAGACAAAAGAATTTTTGCTTTTATCCACCATTCTATACAGCTTCAATAAATATATATATGCATATATATATCTATAGATATAGATATATACCAAATAAGTGTTAAAGACTCAAATAACTTATTTGTGTTCGCAAATTTATGTTTGGAACCTGAGCATTTTATTTATGGGAGGTAGTCCAAAACTTGCTATAATGTTTCACGCAAGACAGTAATTAAAGGATGAAGGAGGAAAAAACATTCCAGTGCAGTTCTCTTCCTCACTCCTCTCCAGCTACAAGGAACAAAGGAGAGAAAAGATTATATCAAGCAGGAGGCTGAAAGCTTTCCTGCTGGCAAGAACTCAAGCTAAGCAGTCATTGCATGAGAAAGAGTTTTGAGCTGTGGAGCAAAATAGTAGCTGAGAGAGAAGAGAGACAGGAGGGGCAAGAAAGGAAATCAGAAGAAATGTCAAAGTATATCAACAACCAGAGGACAAATAGAAAACACATAGGAATATAAGGCAGGGCCAGAGAGCAGAGGGCACAAAGAAGAGCAAGAAAGCCAAAATCCAGGGCTGGGAAGATGGCTCAGTGGTAGAGCGCTTGCCTTGCATGCATGAGGCCTGGGTTCGATTCTTCAGCACCACATAAGCAAAAAGAAAAAACCCGGAAGTGGCGCTGTGGTTCAAGTGGTAGAGCGCTAGCCTTGAGCTGAAGGGCTGAGGGACAGCGCCCAGGCCCAGAGTTCAGGCCCCACAACCGGACCCAAAAAAAAAAAAAAAAAAGAAAGTCAAAATCATACTTTTTAGTAGATATTCCCTTTATCAGCTTAGCTCAAAAAAGCAAGTGGTCCACAAGATAGGATCTGAACATCCTGTGAGCCAGGAGTTGAAGCTTGGAGGTTTAGAGGCACTAGCCTCCCAGGAGAAGACAAGGGCCACAGACTCTTACTGTTCTGGACTCTACTGCTTAGATGCAGCAGAGATGGAACCTGACTTAGAGGTTAGTCTGTAAGGGAGTACTGGGGGGTTAATCTGGAATCTCACCCAAGAGTTGCCCTCAGCACTGGACGACACAATCGACCCCTCCACTGAGGACATCACTAGGTATGTTAAGGTACTGATCAGTGTTAGAGGCTACCATGAAATGGGCACCATCTAAGGCTCCAGCAGTACATATAACATACCAAGCCTGACTTCAAGGAGTTTATATTCCAGGGAGGGAAAGGAGAAAACCAATACAAAAGAATGCAGGGTTGGTGATGTAGCTCAGTAGTAGAACACTTGCCTTGTGAGGCCCTGGGTTAGATTCTCCACATCACAGAACAAAACAAGGCGAAAGAAATGCACACTATAGTGTCATGTACAATAAAGTTCGATAGAGAAAAATAAAACTGAAGAAGCAGATAAGGATAACAAGTGTCAGAGTCCCCCCATCCCCAGCACTGAAAAACAAAACAAAACAAACAAAAACAGGGAAGGGGCAAATTACATGGCATGTAAATTACACCTCATTAAAACCATAGTCTCAAAGAAAACTACTGTTTAAAAATGAGCAGGAAGGCTTATCTCCTTAACTTAAACAAATATTGACTTGTCTATCATATATTTAGGGCTCTAAAGATTTTCTAAGCAAGACTTGGGATTGTATTTCAAAAAAAGGCTCAAAATAGCTTGATCCACTTTCTGTTTCAATAACTAAGACACAAATGGAAAGCTTACTTCAAAAGGTGAGGTACAGCACCCACTCATACATTACTGGATGGAAAAAAATCAATAGACATTTGTATTCACAAAATAATGTCAAGTACTTTCTCACAAGTAATTTAGTTGTGGACATTACAAGTGACTGAATGGAGAAGAAGTAAACAGACATCTTTACACTCTTCTTGGAGGGCTCCACATAGCATTTCTTGAAAAATCAATTTTAATTTATGAAATATATCTGGAATATATTTTTTGTTCATTTGTGCCCTTTTATTTGCACATATCATGTAAAAATTTAAGTATGATGAAATTTTAACAAAGCTACTGAAAATCCAATAAATATTCTGCCAGCCTGAGCAGAAAAGTCCCCATGAGACTCTTACCTACAATAAAAAAAAAAAAAAAAAAACACTCAAAAACCAGAAGTGCTTGGCTCAAGTGGTAGAATGCTAGCCTTGAGCACAAAGAAGCTCAGGGACAGCACCCAGGCCCTGAGTTCAAGTCCCAAAACAGACAAAGAGAGAGAGAGAGAGACAGAGAGAGAAAGAATCAGAATGTAATGTGTGGAAGCAAGATGTTAACATTATTTCAGCAGCGGGTCCTTCCTCTTTTCAGACACTTAATTTTACTCTTAAGCTACCACTCTTCCTACCAAATCTAAGATATTCATTTACACACTGGAAACCAACTGCCAAAGAACTTTCTAAACATGAACTTTT